GTACCCACTTAAGGCATAAATGAGTGTTTTTCCAGCTTGGCAATTTCTGGACTTCAGTTCCCAGAATTCTCCAGCCAATATGCTGGCCAGGGAATTCTAGGAGTTAAAGTCCACACATCTTAAAATTATCAAGTTTGAAAAACACTACACTAGATATACAACGCTATCACTTGTGTGTAATATATGTGTATGTGAATAGTTAAGATGCAGCTGGTAATTGGTGTTTTTAAACTAGGCTCATATTTTTCATCAGTTACTACAACTGGTAGCAAGTAGCAACAAACAGATCAAGTGTTTTGGACACACACATACCCCTCCTTGCTTATCCTTGATAGTATAATAAATCTAACTGACCAAAAGACAGGTCTTTATGGATCTGAAAACTTTCAATATATGGGATTGAGACACTTAATGTTTTGATGCCAAATCCTGATATTACAATTGAAGGCAACTATAGGTGTTTAGCACTTCTTCAAATCTACAGAATAAAATTAAAGTAGTTTGTGGAATGTTTTCCAGAGTAGATCTGATGCATTGTAACATCAAGATGGAGTTGGTTCATTTCAAAAGCCTCAGATGAAATATAATTAGAAATGAAAGCTCCTTACACACATATATTTCATAGTCTTTATCTTGAAGTTTAGACTTGTATACAAACATTGTCTTTGTATAGTGTAGTTATAAAAACTGGCAGGTACTACCTGCATGGTAGCGAGATCCAATATTTTCAACATAGGTTCTGTCTTCTCCTAGGTCAAACGTCAGAACATCTGTAATATTGCAACAAATAGATAAATGCTATTATTATGAATCTGAAGAAATGGCATTTATTTTATAATTTTTTTCATGAAAAATGAGACATTGAGTGTCTTTAGAAGTGTAAAAACCAGACTGAAATCAGATCATTTGGATGTTTTGGATAGCAATTGAATCTGTGGAAGCAACAAAATATCAGGTTCTGTAAGTAGGGAGTTTTTGTATGAAATACACTCTTCTTACTATAGAGGTATTTAGAATTTATCTTCTCACACTATATTGCTTGTATAAATGGAGCTTGAGCAGAAGTAACTCAAAATATTTAAATAGGGAATGCCAAATTAGTTGCATAAAACAAAATGTGAAAGGGGGAATCTTTCATTTTATTCAAGAATGGAAATTAAGATTCTATGCTGCCCCAGAGAGAGTGGAGGCCTATTGTGCTGAATGTTATTTGTTACTGAACTCAATAATATAACCAAAATTGCTGGGACACCTACCTCTTTTGTATATGACTCACTACTCATATACATTTCCTCAACGCAGAACTCCATTAAAGCTTGTTTTTTTAAAGGTTCTCTTGTTTTGGCTTCTCTATAATCAAAGGATTGTTTTCGAATACTTGCTTTAATTACCAATAAAGCTGAAGTAAGGAGGGATGGACCAGTGTTGACCTTTGAAAATGCTGCGTCCTAGCTTTGATTTACTACCTTCAAAATGCATTGGGCTACCACATATGGATTGCAGAAATCCAGAACCACCAGATGGCAACAACATTTAAACATTTTAGCATCCCCCCCCCCCCCATCTTCTTGTGGTTGCCTGGGAGGTTGCAGTCCTAAACTTGCTCAAGTAATGAAACTGAATGCTCTTGACTTTCAGAAAAGTGTTGAGTTTGTTTTGCTGGAAACAAGCTGTTATCTGGAATGTAACTGCAGCTTTCCTGCAAGTTTTCCTTAAAAACAATGTGGTTGCTATTTACCAAAATTAAAATTCGGAGTGGAAGTGAATATATTGTGTTCAATATATTCCACAGGAGCTTATGTAGACTGCAACTATTTTTAGGATAATCCTGTGACCTACTTTAGTTGACAACCTGGGTGCTGCCATAACCATATTTTAATATGTCATCAGGGGAGACTTCAAATTCATGCTGCAATTGTTTGTGAGTTAATCCTTCTGTGTGCATGATGCCTTCAGTAATTTGGAAGTAATGGATATGGCTGAAGATGTTCTTGCCTGCCCTCTGTGAATACAAGTATTTATACGGTGAGGTTTCTTCAGATTTCAGTAGATGCCAATGCTTAGTTTCTTTTTAAGAAATGGACTTTTTCCAAGTAAGTTACTAATTACTTTCAAAAAAAGTCTACATTAAGCATTGCCGTAAGCTCTTTAAAGAACTTTCATCTGCCTTATCTAAATGTCCAGTTCGATGCATTCATTTTAATCTAACAGTCTAAGCACTTTTCTTATATATGTATATAATACCACATAAGCATTTTTTTCATTGTGTTTATCTCTCTGATTAATATCTATGTCACTAGATCTCATTAATGGATATATATATCTCCTAGTTAAATTTAGTCTTTCATCCAGGAGCTGAAATGTTTGTGCTGCTTGGGTGAGATCCCTGAATTTTATTGCCTTGAAAGTGGTAAGGTGGGAAGCAAAGTGCAAGTATATGAACAGAATGTTGTAAAAAAATAATTTTATACTCACAAGTTGCACTCAAATGCATGTATATTTAAACTTGGCTGCAAATGAAAATTAAGCTTTTGGTTTATACCTTTATTCAACAAAGAAAACAAATTCCTTATTTATAGTTGCTGTAATTGAATTGACAAATGCCAATTTAACTGATAAATTATATTTGGTAAAATAAATATTTACATTTATTTATATGGTTTTTGGTCCTTCATTTTTATCAACAATTGGTAGCTGACATTTTAGCTGATGTTTGTATTAATAAGCAAAAAAAGACTAGGCCACATTGGTTTCCTTCAGTTTTATTCATTGGCCCCTTTGTCCTTTATTTCCAAGCTACCTGCTCATTTTAGGGATTCTTTAAAGAAGGAGACACATGTGAGCATTATTTTACACCTAAGAAAAATACACTTTATCTAAATTAACTTACATAGCTTAGATTATGTCCCTCTGCTCAGGGTGTGATTATGTACCATGAAGTCAGTGTCAGCTCTTAAAAACCACATTCATAGATCTGTCCAACCAGGTCTCCAAATTCACCTTGCTGCTGATCACTCTCTTCTCTTTCCACTTTTCCTAGCATTATGGACTTTTCAAGGGAGTTGGGTCTTCACATAACGAGACCAAAATGTAATACTTAAGAGTTTGGTCATTTGTGTCTCAACTCTGGATTGATTTGTTCTACAGTCCATTTGTTTGTTTTCTTAGCTATCCATGTTATTCTCGGGAGTCTTCTTCAATACTAAAGTTCAGAAGTATCAATATTCTTTCTAGCCTGCTTATTCAAGGCCCAATTTTTGGACCTATACGGTGTCACAGTGATGGCAGTAGCAGAGGTGGGCAGGCTTTAATGAATGGTTCTCGGTATCCAGGAAATTCTTTGATTAACGGTTCCTAGTAGGTTAAGAACAAAGAGTTGTTTTATTATTACTACTGTTTTTTTATCATTTTGATTTCATCAGCTCCCTTCTTCGTTGGTTTTCCAGAAACTCTTAAAAACTTAGTTGTTTTGGAAGCTTTTTTCTATGTATTTGTTTTCTCCTCCTTTGCTTTTGCTGTTGTGTCTAAGTTTCTAGAGGACCAGCACAGTTATGGCCAGTTATAATTTGTTGGATTAAGCTAACCATGGATAATTTTGCTTATGTACACTGTAAGCTGATAGTTGTTTTGATTGTGGCAAGGTAGAAGTATGATAACTACGGAAAAAAATAAATGTAATGTACACCCCCCCCCCTTTGATCAGGCTGTAATCATTGTAACCTAAATAAAAGAGGAAAATACAAACAATAGTATCAATGTGATGTGTTGTGAGAAAAGAAGGTTTATCAAAAAACAGTCAACATGGCTGTGAATGAAAGTAGGATTCCACCACTAATGCAAAATGAGAGTTGATGTCAGGAGAAGTTTTTTAAAAATATGCCAGTCAATGGGGTACTTAAGGGGGAAGGATGAATAAGAACGAAGCAGTACATGGATGGGGTGACAATAAGAATACTGTAGATTGCCAAGATAGAAAGGCTATAGGTTGCCAGCCTAGAAAGATACCCAGAGTATAATTAATAATGTTGATATAAAATAGGGTTACTGAACATTGGGCAACAGGGACATGACTTCCTCTTTGTCCTGGTATGCAGGCATAGCCTTAAAATGAAACATTATCCCTCTTTTTGTGTATCTCTTCCTGAGAAGCTTTTTTCTGAGGTGCTTCCCTAATAACTTCTAACTGCAAATTAACAAGCTCCACTCTTCATTAGTTGATTAGTATCCTGCAGCCAGTTTGCCCTGTTTGAAATCCAGCAACTGACCTTAATCAGTTACACCTGAAGGCTTTTTGCCTCTTAACCTGACATAGCACATTCCTGCCCTTGCAAAACCAAAAGTCTGTTACAGGAGAAAATATTTTTATGTGTAGGCCAAAGTACATTTTTGACAGTTTTTCATTGCAAATTTTGTGACAGGTGTCAAGAAAACAGTTAATGTGCATTCTCATTCTCTTCCCCAGCCCCCATTTTTCCTCCTTTTCAATTGTCTGGATTCTCCTTTGATGTTCATATATTTAGTAACCATCACGTAAAACAATATTGGGTTTCTTATTTCGTGTCTTTAATTTCACGTGCCATTTCTCTCTGTAGAACGTCGCAGACCCGAAAGGGAATTAGCGGTTGCCTATAAACCTTAGGCACATAGGCATTTTATATGCTCCCCCTTTTTTCAAGGAGTGACATGGAAAATCAGCGTTTTCCCATTTAAATCCATTTTCAGTTCGCTTTTCTTACACCCATATTATATCCATTTCATAGGCAAGAAAAGCACAGAGAGCAATTAATCTGCGAAAAACGCTGGAGGGCACGATTTTAAACTACTTCCACTTAACACCAAACACTGGCTACAGCGTCCGCTGGAGTAGATTAAAGCACTATAACCAAGTAATCAAGACCCACTCCCCAGATGCATGCCGGGTAATGTAGTTTGGGGCTTTAAAGGGGCAGAGCTGCCGCCAGGTTCTCACATGACAGAAAGGCGAATGCGGAAAAGAGTTGGCTAACCAAAGTTTCAGTACGAGAGAAGGACGTGCGCGCGGGACTCCTCTTTTAAGTTTTGCCTGCCTGCCCGGTAAACGTGTTTTGGTGCTTCATCGGGTGCGGTTGTGTCGCTTTTAGTGCTTGATCATTTAGTGCTTGTTTCTTTCTTAGAAAGCAAGATAGGGCGGACGAGTCTTTCGCTTGAATTCCTATCGCAGCACCGCCAATATTCATATGACTGAAACAAAGCTTCTGGGAGTGGTATATTTGGTCTCCTTGCCCTTAAATTAAGGGTGTGCTTGCTCGGAAAGAGGTATCTTTGCAGCCGGAAAGACCAGGAAGCGACCCTTTTGTGAGTTCCCTGTATTACAGAAACTACGATTGAACGTACGCGTGTTCCCCCCCCTCTGTAAATAATTGTACTTTGATTGTTTTTTTTTTCGTTCACGTGATTGACCCCTCAGGAAAGGGAAGAGGAGGCAGCACCCGCTTCTTTTAATTGGCTTTGGTGTCCAGTCATGGTGGGTCATCACGACCGCATGTTCAAAGTCTTAATTATTGGTGATGCCACAGTTGGGAAGACATCGTTAGTTCAGCGATATGCTAATGATCGTTTCAACAAGTACTACAGGCCTACGATAGGAGGTGAGTCTTCTGGATTTTTCTCAGGACTCCGCAAGGAAATTTACAGTAACACGTAAAAAATATCTGGAGGGAAGGGCTTTAATGTACAGGGTTGTTCTTGTGCACTAAATTCTTCCCCAATTGCAAAGATTTGTCTGACGTAAAGACTTGCACTGAAACTTTTCTGCAAGAGAAGTGACCCCTGAAGATATTATCTTATTTTGATAATTCCTGTTTATCTGTTTTTACGAGAATACTTAGTTCCTCTTTGTTGCGGAATTTCCATTCTTGATATGAAACCCTATTTTTCCTCACTTTGGCAATTACTATGTTGCTAAAGTATCATAATGAAATGTGACCACGCTTACTCATAGTTTGTGGTCAGTTGTTAAATAATTAGTCTGCTTCATAAGCTCTGATTGTGCAGTGTTTTATTGCTGTAGAAAAGATAAACTAAATCAAACATAGTTTTCTATGCTATGATGGGCTATCTGCTCTGCTCTTCTAATTTCATTTCTTTTCTGATTAACCTGAATTACATGTTTTCTTAAAATCTATAATTCAGAGCAATCTATTACATCTAAAGAATCTCAGTATATGATCTCAAAATGTACTGTTGTCAATTCCATTCAATCCAGCATAAATCCTAAATCCCATAAATGAACAGGTTGCACACTTTTTTAAATATCCACTGATATACATATATTTTTGTATTAAAATAGTCTCTTTTTCAAGACTACTTTTAGATAAATTATTCTTATTTTACAGGTAATGAAAATAATGAAAAACCCTACATCATTAATGCTAAATATGTATGTAGGACATCTGAATGTAGTGCACATATTGAATGAAACAAGGCATTAATTATTTTTAAAGTTCATTATTTAGGCATCAGTATCCAGTGATTTATGTGTAAGCTTTACTGCCAAGAATATGTGATAATTTATACCAAAGATGTATAATTTGGAGCTAGTTGTGAGATTTCTGAAAGTCACTATCAAATTAGAATTTTTAATGTGGTTGGTTTTTTTTTAATGTAGATGCAAATGAAATCAAATTTAGTTTCTGACCAGATTCATGTGCTGGTCAGTAACGCACATGAGTGTATTCCTGGGAGACTGTAACTCAAAACACAAAGTGAAATCTTTGCCCTGAAGACAGTTTTTAACACTCACCCCAGGCCTATATCAATGGTGTAATCATAGCTTCTGACCAGCTTTTCTGTAGTTAGAGCACCAGGCTAGAGAAGTGAATTCTAGCCTGCCTAAGGCACAAAGCCAGCTGTGTGACATTGGGCCAGTCACTGCTGTGAGCAGTGAAGAAACCAACCAAGCCACTTCTGAAATCTTGCCAATAAAATTGCAGGGACAATAAATACATCCCCACAATACACCAATACATCCCATACTTGGATATGTATCATACATTCGACGATCAGTTTCTTCTGAGATATTCTGGACTGGCCAGACAGTCACCAGGAATCTACATTGACTTGAAAGCTAGCTAAATACATACAGTGCATATATACACTTACGGTACATTCTGGGTTCTCTGTCTCCATCCAACCCATTTTATTTATAATTCTTTGTCTTTGGTCCAGATTAGAATAGAATAGAGCTGGAAGGGACCTTGGAGGTCTTCTAATCCAGCCCCCTGCTCAAGCAGGAGAACCTATAGATCTCAGATAAGTGACTGTCTAGCATCTTCTTAAAAATCTCCAGTAATGGAGCACCCACGATTTCTGGAGGCAAGCCGTTCCACTGGTTAATTGTCCTCACTTAATTCTAGGTTGCTTCTCTTTTTGATCAGTTTCCAACCATTACTTTTTAAATCTCCCAAATTCCTTTGTTGAAACTGATGTTTGTGCCACAGAATTGCTGTACAAAGGAATTTCAGAGATCAGTAAAAAAAAAAAAGCGCCACTGAAGACATGATAAGGGCCCAGTTTCATTCCTGAAATAGATACTAATCAATTAAAATGGAGATGCTTTGCAGATTGTAGGAGTTTTTTGTTCTCAGACTGCCTTGGACTTGAAACATTGGATTTAAATAATAGTCATTGCTCAGTTTAAGTGTTGCTTCCCTTTCATTGTGGGGGAAAATGCAGGATGTTAGTGGGCATCCTAAAAGTGTATTTCCTGCAGTGAAATATGTTTGTTTTAATCTGTGAGAGGGAAAAGATCACAGAAATTTGTGACTCAGGTAGAGTTGGCTTTGTAATTGGCTTTGTAATTTTGAGAACATATAGGTTCTCTTGCAAAATGGCGAATGATCCCCTCACAAAATAGTTGCTATGAAATCTTATGAGTTCCAGTGCATTGATTGATTTAGTAAATTTGTGGGCTGCACATCTCATACAGGACTCTGGACAGCATACAGTTAAAATTGAATAAAGCCAGTAAAAATAAACAAAGTTTTTTTTAAAAAAAATGCCAGAATACTATGCCTACAATATTTTGTTAATATAACCTTAAAAGTAGAATTAGTTCATCTGAAAGTGCTTCCTGACTGAACTATCTTGCAAGGCTGACATAAATCTTGCAAGACAGAAAATATTTCTCACCTCTTTTTTTAGTCTCTGGAAAACTAGAGAGGGTCCCTTCCCATGCTTTCCCCCCACCTGCACACAGAGCTGCTTCTTATCAGTCCATTACCTAGGATACAGGTCTTCATCCTGTCTCCCAAGATCATTCCCACAGATGACTACATACAGATTGGGATAGTAAAGAGGTGTGATCCATGTTAAAACAATTCTTTACATTTATATTATGATCAGCACTGCCATTTCGTATCAAAGAAGTTAACTGTACCCCTCACATACTCACAGTAACAAAGCTGAGGCCCCGGGCATATGATAGAGCCCATCTCCTGGCTATGTGAACAATTGGTTGGATTATGCTATGTGTTTTATTTTTATTTGTTTTTATATTGTTTATTTTATGTGTCTTATTTATTTTATTGCAACCCACTGTAATGATATGTGGGAATGATCTTGGGAGATAGGGCAAAGAAACACAACAAAGGAAATGGCCTGATAAAAGGCAGCTGAGCCTTCAGAAGGAATGTGAGTGGGGCAAGAGGCTCAGAAGAGACCCTCCTAATTTTTTGGATTGTAAAGGAGACAGAGGTGGGGATAGATGTACAGTATTTTCAGACTTGCAAGTTTCTGTTAATGAAGCTTTATAGCAAACTAGAATCAGCTCATCTGTGTGGTCTAACTTGTAAGGCTGGCAGCTACCTACAGCCACACAAAAGTGAAGTGAGTATTTATATAAATCAAACACATAAATAATGTGTATAAACTTTTAGCACACTTTGGAGGAAAAGTATAGATTTTCCCCAGGAACATTCAGTCGGCTTGTTCAATCCTTCCTTCCTACTTACTTACTCATCTGCCCTTCCTTACCTAATTGGAGGTAGCACACATCTGAATAAAATTGTGGTTTTGTACTAGAATATATCTAGAATTTACTTGTCTTATATGATGATAGTCATGACAGTTGACATAATGAGTCACAGCTGCTCATATAAGTTTTTCTGGAAAGATTCAAGTGTTAACATTTAAGTAGAAGACTTATTTAATCACTCATAGAAACAATGGTGCTTCAAGCAGATAAGATTGCGTTGGTACACTTATTGTGTACTAATGGAGGAAGAATGTTGCAAGAAGTTGTCTTGAGAAACATGTGCAGCTTTTACCTTAAAATAAATAAGAAATATGTGCTGCTGCCAAAAATTGGGGTCATTTTGAAATTTATTCCATTTAAGATCAGTGCTGGTAGAGATCATAATGCATATGCCATTCAAACTGTTTCTATATGGTGTGCCCATCCCCTCAAGTTAAAATTGCTTAATATACTCCATGAATTTTGAGAATCTAATGGTTGTCCTGCAGTGAGCAGTGCCCAGGCAGTTTAAAGGAAATACATTTGTGGCTGTTTGTTTTCACTGTTCTTCACTGTAATTTACGAAGGTTTTCCCCATGAAGTCGGAACTGCTGTGGCTCATGCAATAGACAATGTATTTTATAGTACCAGTATCTGTACACACTGGGTAATCGGCATTGATGCGAAGTGTGAAAGAAAGTACTGTAAGCAATAAGTGGCATGCTTTTTCCTCTCTCATTTTCTGTGTTTGCTTTTAGTGGATTTTGCTCTGAAGGTGGTGCAATGGTCAGAGTCTGAGACAGTGAGGTTACAGCTATGGGACATTGCTGGTGAGTTTCAAAAAGTTAACTTGCTTTTTTTTTTTTTTTGCTTCTCAGCCTTTTTTTTTAGAGTAATAGTACTTGCCTTATTTGTTCAGCTCTCTTAAACAACTTAACAATTAAGCTATACTATAAAGCAGGGCTTTTCAACCCATGGTAAGCAGGTTGGCACCTGGCAGGTGGTACGCATACAACAGTTTGAAAAGCACTATAAAAAAAAGTGTAAAAAAAAGTGGATGAGCTGAAGCGGCGGCAGCGCCAGAGAGGCCTGGAGGGAGACTCCACTGGAGCTGCTGTGTTACTGGGGCTCTGCTGAAAGCTCAGGATTGATGCACGCAGCAGCTGCACACAGTCTTTGGGCACAGATTCGGCTGGAGCTGCGATATTGACGGGGCGCGTGTGCAGCTCCAGCTGATCGGCGCTTCCAGCGCACCAGGAAGAGAAATGGAGGAGGGGGGGAGAGAAGAGAGGATATAAAAGGAGGAGTTAAACCAGTACTTCCCACCCCCTTTTTTTTTTTACAGTTTGTAACATATTACATTATAGAATAAAATACAGAAATACAAAAGCAAAGAGTAGTACACAGTGGGGAGGAAAAAGGGAAAGAAAAGTGAGGGGGAGAAGGGAAAAAGAAAAAAAAAAGGCATTGACTTCCAACTTCCTCTGTTGCAATAGAATGAAGCATTAACATTGAACCTCAACTTTTTACTTTTCCATAATAGTATAACCATTTCTATAACAACAAATCAATCTAATCAGTAAAACCCAAAATTCCCTCAAGTTTTTGACACCTTGCTAAGCACTGGTGGTACTCGAGTATTGTCATGTCCTAAAAGTGATACAATCTGGGAAAAGGTTGAAAAGCCCTGCTCTTGGGGGGGGGGGGACTCAAATCACATAATATTCCACTTAAATGTTTGTCTTGTACCTCTTTTATGGTCTCAGCAGGTGGCAGTGCCTGACCAATTTTGACTGCTATGAAAGCTAAGTAGGCTTAGGTCTGGTTAGCATTTGGGTAGACCATAGTCTAGCTTGGGAAATCAAATCCTCCACCCCACCGCCCAAAAAACATCTTGAAAGAAAGCAGTGACAAACCATATCTATTGTTAATGCCACAAAAGTTTCATGGATGCATAGGAGTCAAACTCAGATTGAAAGTATTTACATAGCTTTGCCTCTGTAATATAGTTTGCATAATGCAGTGTCAGTTGAGGGGTAATATTTCTTGGAACACCATGAAAAAGCTTGAGAAATTTCTGCAGGTTGATGGATATTAAAGATCTGTTAGGCATTAGAAACCCTTCACATAACTTGAGTTGCTTGTTATTTAAAGTTTGTCATGTTGTGGTTGCAAGCCTGCTTTTCAACTGAAGCTTGAAGGTTTTATTTCTTTAAATGTCAGGTTTTGCTCTCTAAGGGGCAGCTGACATTCAAACCATGGTGACAATTTGCAAAGTATATGTTTAGATTTCTTAGTAAAGAAATAAGCAATTTTTAATATTCTGAGGCAGAAGGCAAAATGCTCAGACCTCTGTGCTGCAGGAAAAAAGAGAGAGAGAGAGAGAGAGAGACCTTTCTCAATGATGTTACCTTTACATATATATAAATCTTTTAACTTTTTGCAGACTACTCAAATTCACTTTTATCTTCCTTTAAGGCAGCTTTCAGGCCTATCATGTTTATTTTCTCTTAGTACAGGATCCTTATAATAAATAGCCTTTGTTCTTTCATTTTCATTTGGCATACTTTGAGAGATATGCAAAGAAGCAGGGTGTTGTGTGTGCACATATGTGCCTTTGAATCAGTCTTGATTCCTGGTGACTACCCAGGCAAGTCCCCTGCAGTATTCTTGGCAAGGTTTTAAGAATGGTTTGCCATTGCCTCCATCCTTGGACTGAGAGAGAGTGACTGGTTCAGGGTTACCAGTTGGATTTATGGTCTTCTAGTTTCTAGCCTGATACCTTAACCACTATACCAAACTGGGTCTCAAGAAGCAGGAACAATACTGAAAAGTAGTAATTGGGATAAAGATCAGAGTCAATTTTGATTTCATTTTATTTTCATATAGAATTAAAGTTAAATGTGTGTCAACTTTGCAGTAGGCAAAGTCAAGAAATGGTAGGGATTGCAGGAATATTCTTTACACGTAGTCCTCCGCTCACCTTTAACAATGGCTTGAAGTTATGATGGCCTCAACGAAAGTGACCGATAAGCCTTCCTCAAATTTACAACTCTTGCATCACCTCCACAATCACTTGGTTGTAATTCAGCTCACATTTACAAAGGTTGGAGCGCTTTGTGTACAGGTTGCTGTGATTTCTGACCTTCCCAGCCAGCTTCCGACAAGCAGTCAATTGGGGAAGCCTGATTCGCTTAACAAGTGCTTAATAACCACAATAAAAATAGTCATAAAATCAGGTCCAATCAGGTGATGGATGACTCAATGACTGAATCACTTAGCAACTAAAATTCCAGTTCAGATTGTGGTTGTAAGCTGAGCACTTCAGATTGTGGTTGTAAGCTGAGAAACAGTTGAATAAAAAATATTTGCTTTAAGACAATGATTTAACACTTCTCATTTAACATGCAGGTCAGGAACGTTTCTCATCAATGACTCGACTGTATTACAAGGAGGCATCAGCCTGTGTCGTCATGTTTGATGTCACCGATTTTAAAACATTCACCAGTTGCCAGAAATGGAAACAAGATGTGGACAGCAAGGTGAAACTGCAAGATGGAAGTCCTGTCCCTTGTCTGTTATTGGCTAATAAGGTAAATAAATACTGACTTACTAAAACTTGTTAATTACCAGAAGAGACTGTAGGTATGCATTGTTATTTCATTGTAGAATCATAGAATCTTTTGAGGAGATACAAATGGATGCATACATTTAGAAAGAGAGACAGAGGTTATGATGCTTTTCTTTGTATCACTATGGTGTGTGTGTTTGTGTGTTTGTTTGCTGTTTAAAGATAAAAAGAGTATGTGGATCTCTGGAATGGATGAGTCAGGTAAGGGATTCCATCAGAAAAGGATTTCATAAAAAAAAGCAACCTCCTGTTGGAGATGCAGGTGTGATGTTAGACCAAAGACTAAAAGAGTAGTATAAAAATTGTGGCTGATTAAGTGTCAACTCATTGTCATCTCTTAACATCCACATAAATTCTTGTGCAAAGCACTCCTGAGTCTGTAAGGCTGGATTGCTTGGCATTAAGTTGCTGCATGTATTGGGCAAGGATAGGGATATGTCCTCTCAGTGGCATGCCCTCCTACACCAGCTGCAGTTCCAGGGCAGGAAAGGTAGGGTAGAGAAACAATTTTTCTAAGATGCTTTAATTGTGACCTGGCAGTAAGTTATGATTGCCAAGTTGGGAGTCCTGCTGATGAACCACTCGTTGTTCTGCATGGCAGCATGCATTCCTGAACTTTTGGATTTCATCTCAGATCTGGGCTTTGTTTGAAATTTAAGCATTTTGTGAGCATTCCTGAGTTGGAATTTAACTGAGCA